GTATTGTAAAATAATTTTTTTATGTGTTTCACACCGTGTGAAAAATCAGTTGTGTAACTTCAACGTTTCCTCCTGTTTACAGTTAGTTATCTGTGTGCCGTCTATTGTAAATCTATCATCGGACACAGATTTACCATAGACGGCACACAGATAACTAACTGTACACAAAATATACTTGAAAGCCCGATTGTAGGTTTTCCTTTGACGGCACTCATATAATTTGATATTAATCATTTTATTTAAAGAACAGATTTTTTGATAAAGTATGAAATTTTTTTTTAAAATACCAATTGTCAAGCTTTGTCTTTGTCAGTTTATGCCAAGTCCTATTGTACTATTAAAATTCTTTAGGATGAATTGATTATCAGATAATGTATGCAATTATAATTGAGTAAAAAAAAATCGTAATGAAAAGGAAGTACATACGTATGTAAATCTATACCAATATTATTTATTTACCTAATTAAGTGCTCAAAAATCTGATAAGCTGTTTTAAGATTAAGTTAATATATAAACAATATGATCATTGCCATTTATTGCATTTAAAAAGAAATCCATGATCTGATAACGTTTTATCAGATTTTGTGCGATTGAATAATTCGGATGATTTCGCTAACTCAATTAATTTTGGGTTAGAACGTTAAGTGACTTTTAAAAAAGATTGCATATTTTATGTGAATGGATAATACCAGAAATTTTGAAAGAATTTTCTTTTTTATTAGAATATAAAAGTTAGTTTCATTGACAAAATTTCAAGATAGAGAGAGACGACTTAAAAGGTTTAGTTTAATTTTGCATAGATTGGCTAAAAGCGTGATTTCCTAATCAAGCGAGCGCGTATATTGTATTACGTATACAGTTGAATGTACAAAATTCGCCAAATCCTTTATCGAATTTCAATGATAACCAATCGGATCAACCTTTGCAATTAACGGAATTTTTTTTTTTTGTTTATAAAATAATAATACGACAGGTGAAACCTAAGTTGCGAAATAGTGAAATCCTCTATGATCATCACAAATCCGCCTTTATATAATAAAAAAAAAACATTAATAATAAAGCGCGGATTTGATTTACAAAGCGGATCTCACTATCTCGCAACTCAGGTTTTCATCCTGTTCTATAATAATAATATTATTATTTCAAAATAATAAAAAAAAAAAACAAAAACAAAATTCTGCGAGTCAAATGTTAAATCAAAATTCTTATTGTCACGGTTACACTTTGAAAACTGAGAATATCACATGAATGCAAGTATTTTTTAGATAGAAAAAGTAAATCTTATTTTAGTAAAACATACACTTTGTTTCCGAACGAATAAAATTTCTTTGAGAAATCAGATAAAATTTTCTTTACGAATGTGTGAATTATAAAAGAGGCCATATTTTCAATTTTTAACCTCACGTCATTTTCCTCCCACGTACTTCCTCCTACGTACTCCCTCCTACACAGACAATTTCGCTTTTATTTTTTACGATTTTTTACGTTTTATAAGCTTTTAAGTTTATTAAGATATGGTTTATCTATTCGACATCCCTGCTTACTTTATTGTCTTACGTGAAACGCTCGAAGTTACGATCATTCTTGCTGTACTCCTAGGATTTATTGACAAATCCTTGCCTGGTGATGAAAATATCACCTTAAGAAAGCAACTTAGAAAACAAATATGGATCGGATCTTTATGCGGATTATTTGTGTCACTGCTCATTGGTGCTGCTTTTATTATTGTTTTCTATGTTATTGCTAGAAATTTATGGGAAGAAAGTGAAGATTCGTGGGGTAAATTCTTTTCTTACTTTTCATCTTATTCATATTTATCTAATCTCATGACTTATTTTTAAATATAGAGGGCGCCTTTTCTCTTATTGCCACCGTCGTTATAACCATAATGGCATTAACCATGGTTCGCGTTCAGCAATGGAAACTAAAATGGGAAAATAGACTCCAACAAGCGACCGAAGAATATCTCGAACGACATGATAAAGGGAACAAGTGGGCTTTAATATTACTACCTTTCACTGTCATTTTACGTGAGTTAGTAGAAACAATCGTATTTATTGCTGGGGTATCGTATATTATCTATTACTTTTGTTAATGTTGTTAGCATTTATTTATGCTTCTATAATTTCATAGATTGGTTACAATCAAGCTGCCACTGGCCTTCCCATCCCTGTCATTACAGGCCTTGCAACTGGCTTTTTCATAGGATGGCTTATATATAGAGGCTCTCATACTTTTTCTCTTACCATATTTTTCGTTACCACAACTGTCCTATTATTATTCATTGCTGCCGGTCTTTTCTCCAACGCCGTTAGTCATTTGAATGAAGCCGTTGGCGGCAAACAAATTGTTATCTGGAGTTTAAATTGTTGCGACCAAGAAACTGATAACTTTTGGTCTATCATGAATGCAATATTTGGATGGAGAAATCAAGCTACTGTTGATTCAACTGTTAGCTATTTTGTTTATTGGCTTGTCGTCATTATTGCTGCTGTGATAATCTTGCTCCGCTCAAAGAAAGCAAATAAACTCGATACCAACGACACAACTGAACAAACCGATACAACTGAACAAACCGATACAACTGAGCAAATCGATACTAATGAAAAAGACGCTGCACAACTCAACGCTGTTTAATACTTTTATATATTTCCAAAAAAAATTTAATCACTATTATAAAAAAAAACACCTTTAATTATCATTTATTCTTATATTTATTATTTTATTAATTAAGCAAAAAAAAATTAATTAATTATTTTTATTATATAAACTTTTATTTTTTCAAATTAACCACCATGACCTTATAAGTTTTTATTACTATTTTGTCCGGAACGTAGCGGAAACATTTAATATTATATAAAAGTTAGGTTTTTGATGCATCAATAATTATTTTTTTTTGATTGAACTGTAAAATAATCAGTTATTTTATATTGTCGCATCAAAAAATGTAAATTTGAAAATTCGCACGGTTTCGTATCTTCATAGAAGTTTAGTTCACAGACGCCTTGTTTTTTTTACAGATAATCAGTTCATAGACAAGATTATTTTAAAGACAATTAATTTACAGACAGTTCATTTCATAGACATTTCATTTATAGGCAATCGATTTAGAAGTTATTTGCTATTAAAAATTGTCTATAAAAAATGAACTGTCGATAAAAAGAACTGTCTATAAAAGAACTGTCTGTAGATTAATTGCCTTTAAAATAAACTTGTCTATGAACTGATTGCCTGTGAAACAAGGTGTCTGTGAAATAAACTTCTATGAAGTGATATATTACTGAGACCCATAAAATTTTGGTTTTAAAAACTCAAAACTTTTTCTGATTAATTTAAAAGAAAAATTTTATAAGTTCATTCTTTTGTTTTGTCAAAATATAATATTGTAAGCATTTTAATAATCAATATTTAAATTTTACCGATTGTTTTGAAGATTGTTATTATAAAAACACAAGTTTATAATTTAATTATTGCAATCCAAATATAAAAACGATCAGGAATCAAATCATGTCTCTAGATCACGGCATCAATATCCAATACAAGCTAGTTATCTTAGAAGTTAAATAAGTTAAGTTTGTATAAAATTTTATTAAAAATAAATTATATATCACTAGGAATCTACTGTATAGCTTGCATAGGCCCACATTATGGTAGTTTACCGCCAATGCAGGCCAGAATTGTGAAATTCCGGATATTCCACATATTCCACCTGCGCAGCATCTCGTTCCTACGTAACACAAACTATGATATAATATGGAAAATTTTAGAAAATTTTAGTTAAATTTGATAATGTTAGATATAAAGTTTCTAGAATTTAAAAATTTTAGAAAATTTGAAATTTTAGATTTTAATTTATTTCTAAAATTTCACGGGTCCCAGCCCAACATATGTAATCCCGATCAAGAAAGAATACTGACAAGTCAAAATCCTGATTAAGACATAATCTCAACAATTTCATATCCCGATATTCAAAATCCCGGATGGAAAAATCCCTAAAGTAGAGATGCGATCCGTTATCCGTTTTCCTATTTAAAATTTAACGGATATCCGGATTCTTTATAATAATTTTGTTAT